CCTTCTGTATAAGCGGCTGTCAGACTCCCAGTTCTGAGTGTTTGTCTCCCATTCTGGCATCTTATCTAAACACCATGGAATGTCACACTAATCAACGAAGTGTGTGTATGCACACAAGGAAAATGTGCAGCTGTGGTGCAGTGCCAGATATATGTGCATTAATTGGTAAAAGAATCTGCCACTGAGTCACAGCCAACTCCTGGGATGTTCCAGGCAAGAGATGAGCAGAGGTAGTTGCCATCTCTGCATAGGAACCCGTCCTCCTCAGTGGTTTCCCATCTACATACTAACCACAGCCGACCATGTTTAGTTCCCCAAACTCTGGTTAAAAGCCAGGCCAAATGGCAAGTGGGAAACTCATGCTCTGTTGGTAGAAATCCACCCTTGTCAACATTTCACAGGATCCACCCATTTACGTGTCGATACAGTTTGCGTTATGAACAGGGCCTATATGGACTGCCCACTCTTCCACCACATGCATAAGTAACGTGCAAAATGAATAATTTTTCCTTCTAAAAAGAGAAAATGGTTTGCAGACTAGGATTATGTGTGGAAGCCCAGCATCACACAAAGGGCTCTCTATGTGTGGACATCCAGGCCAAGTATGCTGGTTAAGCAGGTACAGTCCAGCTTCTCCAATGCACTGTGTCAACGTTTGCTTGGATGGGTTCTGAAAGGATTATCAGTGTCCTGTAGAACCTCCATGTTATCACCAGCACAAAATGGGTAGCCATGTTAGTCTGTTTGTAGTAGCACCTTAGACTTTACAAAATTAGTGGCAGGGTTGTAGCTTTCGTGAGTCACTGCTCACTTACGAGTTACTGCTCACTTTTGTGAGTCACTGCTCACTCACGAAAGCTCATACCCTGCCAGAAATGTTGATTGTCTTTAAGGTACTATTGGACTCTTGCTCTTTTCTACTATCACCAATACAGAGTAAAGTTTGAATCCAGTGGCACCTTTAATTTCAAAGTTTTATTCAAGGTATAAGCTTTTGTGTGCATGCACACTATCTGAAGGAGTGTGCATGCATGCATGCACATGAATGCTTATACCCTGAATAAATCTTTGTTGGTCTTAAAGGTGCCACTGGACTCCAACCTTGTTCTACTGCTTCGGGCCAACATGGCTACCCACCTGAATCTATCACCAGTACAGTTAACCAACTTGGTCAATGCGTTTTGCACCAATAACACTGTTGTTAAATGCTGCCATTTCACTGGTCTCTATCCAGATCACAGCTCCAATCCTCTGAAAGCAGAAAAGGACTGTAAGTTAGCCACTGTCATGATCCTGGGCCTATAGTGGTACGACCTACCGGCTCCAGGGAGGCCTAGTGGCTTCAGAGAAGCCTGTATTACAGTGACTACAGAGCCTACATTCCCCAGGTTTCCTCTGGACCGTATGACTGGCTAACAGGTGATTTGGAGGGAAAACTACACTAGCAGTGGAGCAGAGGGTGGTGCCTGGGATGAAGAGATAGAAGTCCTTGCCCAAATAGGGAGGGTGTCCTGTCCTCTCTCAGGGAGCAGGGCTGGTGAAGCTGCTGCAGAAGGAGGGGTCCCTCATCCAAAGTCAGTCTGAGATCTGGTACCTAGGGAAGTCAGACACGTTAGGATTTATTATTTTACTGATTTACCTACCTATACTTTGCTTATTTTTCCTACATGTTTTTGAAATTCAGTTGTTATCATATCTCTTTAATAAAACTAGTTTGTTACTCTGCCTGGGTCCTCATGCCTCATTTGGGCATGTATAAAGGGAAACCGACTGGGAAAGTACTATATAAAAGAGGAGGGCGGGTGCTCTGGGCCCCTCCTGAGGTGACCCATAACAGAGTGGTGGCAGCTATTAGAGAACCTTTCGAGCCGCTGCCCACGACAGCCACAATGCCCACTTTCAAGAGGGCCATCATGAAGAACTTTAAGAGCCCCTGACATGATTAAAGTATGGATAAATGCCATTCTGGCAAAGACAGCTGGAGGCTCTTGCAGTCAAAAATAGGTTTTATTTCCTTTGTTTTGTACAAAATACAATCATGTACGAAAATGTACACATACAACATTTTGTCAAATCAGTTTTACATGTTGAAAAAAGATTCAGTGTTTCGAATGAATTTTGCTGACATGATGTGATGTAAACATAGAACTGAGCCCAAAAAGGTTTCATAATCTGGGGCAGAAAGCGGATCATTGCTGGGAGGAAATTGTACAGGTTACTTTCAAACTTAGAATAAAGTCAGATGAAAGGATTTTCCTGCAGGCATATCTGTGACAGAAGTTGGCTTCAGATTTCAAATTGCAATCAAACTATATACATACACCAGAAGGGGCACAATCCATGGGGAAATTCTCCCGTTCCCGTCAGGCCTGTACTGTGATTTTTGCACAGCTCTCTTGTTAGAGGGGTTTATGGAGAGAACTTTGCCATGGTTTGTGTCTGAGACTGTGTGATTATAGAGACCACTCAATAAGGACAGACACACAAAAGGTGGATTTGTCAATGCATGCCGATGTCACACAAGGGTCAAGCAGGTGTAAAGACTGAACGTACACTTTCAGGCAAGTTTTGAACACCTAACAGAGATGGAATACAACTTGACATCTTGTGTACCGGTGGGAATACGAGTTCCAGAGATTGTCCACATTAGTTTGTCACTACAAAACTCAGAAAGTGTTTTGAGATAACATATAGAGCCCACGAGATGCCTGCTAGCAAAATTATCCAGGTTCAGCATTGTTCAAAGGAAAAAAAAAAATGCAGTTTTTCAAGGAATCACCCCTGTGTCTGTACTACATCATTTCCCTTCATCCATCTCATAGGAGAAATGGAGACGGGAGAGCAGAACTTTGTGAGACCTGGCATTAGTTCTACAGAAACAGATATCCTTATGAAAACATGATTGCCTCGTGAGAGGTCTACTGTCCCCCAATTTCTAAAATTGCAGTTTATAATGGGCCAGTGTACATCAGAGAATGGTGAGAAGGGACATGTCTACACTGCCATTTTATTAGAATTTAACTGCCTCAGAGGAATCCTGGGAATTTTAGTCCTTAGAGGGCACTTCTGCCTATGTGCTGAGCTCTCAGGGACAAGGTTTATGGTCTTAAGTTTTATAGGCAGTGAGATTACGTTGTGAAGTCTGGGCCAATGATCTGTCTGGTGCATTATGGGATGGTCAAGCTGCACGGAGGACTGTTAATTCATTCCTGTCCACTGGTTTGACTTGGCTCTGAATGGGGGATAACCTGCTGCTAAGGACAGCCACAGGACACATGAAGTGGAATTCTTACAGAAAGGTCAACTCTGAAGCAATGCACTTTCCACTCAGCATCTTCCAAATGGCACGGTCCTTTCTTGAGCCACTCCTGAATGAACCTGACGGGTAGGAACACCGTCCATATAACCACCATGTATTTACATGGATGGTGTTTTTGGCTTCTACTTTTGGACCAACACAGATGTAAACAACTTGTTGACCATTCTAGAGCTGACTCACAAACGTTCCCAGGGAGAAAAACAGGATCAGGTCCAATGCTCCCTCTAAGCTGTGGAGTCTTGCGAGCACAAATTGTACTTTGTGAACTGCTTACATTAAAGTTGTGAGCAAGCTATTTGGCTACTGCATAAATTAGTTTGCTCTGGAGCCTGAACTAAGATGGAAATATGTGAGCCAGAGGCTAAAGAACGGTGAGCTAGCTCACACTAACTCATCTTAGAGGGGACACTGAACCAGACTATGAGACTCCATACTTATTTGCATGCTGGGTGGCCTCTGGCCCCAAGAATTTTAACCTTGTTTTAAAAAGGTTTGATTTCCTGTGTTCTGGGGGAAACTCTCAAGCTCAGACTATGAAGTCTTCCGACTGGTAGTTTTCTTCTCCTAACAGAAAGGCATTGAGAAGTTTCTTTCTATACTCTCCAACAATGTCCTGTGTTCTGGGGGAAACTCTCAAGCTCAAACGACTATGAAGTCCTCCAACTGGTAGTCTTCTTCTCCTAAGAAGGGCATTGAGAAGTTTCTTTCTATACCCTCCAACAATGCGCCCTGGGATAGCAAGCTGGCTTCTCCTCCTGGACTGAATCACCATTTTTTTTGCCATTCAGGAAAGCTGCTACTGCTCCCCTTTTCAGAGTACTGCTTTTCAGATTAGCCCTATCTGCATATAAATGCAAATCCAACCCTGATGTCTAACAAAATCATTAAAAGAAACAGTTAATCGGTTCCAAACTTCAACATACAAATAATAAGTAACCATTTGTCCATTTACTCAAGCATAATCAGAAAAATGCCACTGTTGCCTGCAAGCAAATTATAAGCATCTCCCCCGGCCCCAGTTTTTAATTCAAGGAAACTTTATAGCTTAAAAGTGGTTCGTTAATTATCATTCTTAATTGGTTTTAAAATATGTCTCAGCCTCATTCATTTATAATAGCAATTTGAAATATACAAATGTGTGTTGGAGCAGGGAATTAAGACACACATGTCCACATTCATACTGTGCCCGTTTCATAGCAAGCTGTGAGTGTACCCAGCACAGGGCGCATTTCACACTAAATCCGGACACTGGAAGTAGAGATGTCACACCTACATTAAAGAAGGTTATTTTGGCAAGCAAAGAGACACTGAAAATGATGACCGAGATCCCAAGAACCGCTTGGTCTCATGAAAATGGATCGCATTCTCCCAGTGGGATTTTGGGCTTGCTTTTGACCCTTGATTTCCATGCTGTGTCACCAACGCCTTCTCTTGGTAAGTTTCCAAGGAAACCCAAGTTTCCCCACACTTGTCATGCGTGTTGTCAGGGACTGCTGTTCAAGAAAAGCAACCCTTAAAAAGACCTTTTGGGTCCACAGAGCTAATTTGACAGTTTTTTGGATCCCGGCCCACATTTCTGCATCAACTTTAATCAGAAAATCTTAGTAATTGCGATTCGATTTGGAGAAGCAATCATCTGCTGGAATTCTGGCACGTACACTTTTTGCTTGTGTTTTTTTTTAATTCGACAGGTGTACACAGTTTGCCAAGGCAGCTCCATGATCTGACATTAGGCATTTTTATCAAACACACATTTAAAAATTCGTAGGACTTGTGCCTGGAAGGTTTTTCTGCTGACTACAATTAACTTCCTATTCAGCTGCTGGCTTCTCTAGACAAGTCTTAAAGCTCAGTCACAGGCATATTTTTTTTCCTTCCTAAAAAAACAACATAACAAAAATGTCAGGTAGACAAATTTTTTTCTTTAAAAGTACAGTTTTGGTTATGCTTTCTATTAGTTCTCATATTTAAAAAAATATAAACTCTCTCTCTCTCTCTAAAGTGCATCATTGTACCTACAACTGTACACAAGCCATTCCAAAAGTGCAGCAATCCCGCTGCAAAAACAGCTTCGGATAAGCACAGAACAGGAAAGGGGACAACGTCATCACTGCATATTGATGGATCTGCCAAAGTTTTGGGCGGGGGGAACAAAATTGTTGCAGCAAAGCATTGGCTGGTTTGTCCCATGTTTTAAAACACAGGGCTGCATCCTCCTGTTTCACTTCGCTAAATATGGAGCCTTCCTCCAGTGGAAAAGTCCTTCCTCGGCTCCTTACGCTGGAGGAAGACTTGAAACTTAATGGAACCCTGCCCTTCCGGCCATGGAATCTTGGCTTGCTGTGGACGTTTCTGGCAAGCATTCCAGGGACCCGGCCTTGGAGTGGTAAAGGTGGAAAAAACCAGTAATGGAAGACAGACTGGCTTTCAGGGAAGCTTGTGTACCATTACCGATCACCTCACCAAACAACCTCTTGGTAAGTGTCCAAGGAAACCCAAGTTGCCCCAGACCAATCTGAAAACCACTGGCCTAGTCCAATCAGAATGACCCACGCTACTCTCTTGTCAGCTCAGTACTTGCCACAACTTTGAGGACACCCAATCACAATGGTTTTCATTTTCTTTTTTCCATGGGTTGGATCCAGCCAGCTGGTTCACTCATTTCCCATTCTCACTACAGCTTCCAACCCATGTGGCCTCTGTACAGGCAGATCCTACAGTCCCCAGTATCTCTTTTTTTGGTGGTCAAGGGGGACTATCTCCTCCTTTTTTTGGTAGTGGGAAAGCTAGTTGAATCTGACCTTCTTTGTTCAGACAGAAGAGGCAGTCAAGAAACAAGGACAAGCGATAGCTCTGAGAAAGAAGTCAACGCAAAGGCCATGGCAGGAGACAGTGTTTCCCTCAGAGTGGCAATTCAACGTTGAACAGTGGCAAGCCAAAACAGCCACAAGCCAGTAAACCAAGACCGCAGTCATATGTAAGATTCCCGAGAATATTGCTTTCAAACACTACAGCTGAACAGAATAATCTCAGAATCAGCATCCTGTCCCATTACAACAGACCCTGGTGTTTGATTGGTCAGACGATTACAGATAATTACTGGCGATTCGCGACAGCTCAAGCGAGTTCATCTCTCTTTTCATTCACGCTCTGGAGAAGGCATAAATCTGACTCTGATCATCTAAAAAATTCAGCCACAAGCCGATCAAAGCAAAGGACACCCCCTCCCCCTTCGGAACAGAGCATTTCGACTGTTTTGTTTCGTAACCCCTTCTTTTCCTGCTGGTTTGGCTGACCAACTTGGAGAAAGGACAGTCCGCAAGTCTAAAGAAAGGTGCTAGACTCCACTGTCCGGTTTCTCAGTCCGTGGAGAGAGTTGCTCAAACGCCCTTCCAGTATACAAGGATCTTGCTGAGTACTTCAAGCAATCATTCCTTTGGCTTGTCCAACTTCTTAACTCTATTGGCAAGGTAAAGGATGCCTTCCTTACATGATCTTGGAACTAATATCTCTTTTGCTGATCAGGACTTCCAAAAGCCTCATCTTGGCCTTAACCTGCTTGTATTCATTATACTCTTCAGCCATGGGAAGACGGTCTTCTTTCTGGACGTTTCTGTGAGAAAGACAGAAGATACAAACGGCTTCAGGTACGGATATATTCTATGGCTGAGGCTAGCCAGATCTTGGAAGCTAAGCAGGCTCTGGTTAGTACTTAGATAGGAGACCACCAGGGAAGTCTAGGGTTGCTATGCAGAGGGGCAGGCAATGGCAAACCACCTCTGTTAAGTCTCTTGCCTTGAAAATACTATGGGGATGCCATAAGTCAGCACTGACTTAACGGCACTTTCCGCCACCAGTGAAGAGCCAATTCACTGACTGAGGAGGGAAAGGACAGCATACTGAACAGGCGGAAGAAGACAAAAGCTGCCATCTCACAAGCACTTTCCCGAGAGTGAGCCCTTAACGGGACCTAGGATGGCTCTCGTATTCTTGCTGTGCATCCTCGCTATCTTTTTAAACGTTTCTTGACATCATGGTACATGTCTATCAATGACATCTGTGGCTGACAGAGCTGAGAGTGGCAGGTTCCATTTGTGCTCCGAGGGTGAATGGGAGGATCCAAGGTTGCGCTGCACTGGGGTTGCCAAGAATCTGGAGGGGTAAAAAATGTTCTGCCCCCTTAAAAGAGCCTTAATGGGATAGTATTATACATGAAGCTGCCTTATGCTGAGTCAGACCTTTGTCCATCAAAGTCCGTATTGTCTACCCAGACTGGTAGCAGCTCTCCAAGGTCTCAGGCAGAGGTCTTTCCCGTCATCTACTGCCTGGATCTTTCTAAACTGAAGATGCCAGGGACTGAACCTGTGCCCTTCTGCATGCCAAGCAGAGGCTCTTCCACTGAGCCACACTTCACCCTCTCAGGTGACACCTGTCTCCATGCCATGAAAAGCTTCAGTTACCCATTTACACACATTAAAGCCCTATTAAGAACAGACCATCTTTGTCCAGGCCTGCTGGCAACCCTGCTCTGTACAGAGTTCTGCACTTCTTAGATGTTCTCCCAGACGCTCTCTCATAAGCTAGAGGACTTGCACTATGTCTATGCACGAATTAAAGCAGCCTCGGGAAGGATCTATGTCTTCAAAGGGCTACGCAGAAGGTGAAACCCACGACTCAGCCAAGGCCAGGGCTATTTTTGGGCAGGAACGCACAGGAACGGAGTTCCGGCTGGCTCCCGAGTTGGCCACGCCCAGCAGGAACTCATTAGCATAATAGGCCACACCCAACAGCAGAAACTCATTAGGATTGGCTACATTTGGGGTGTGGGGCCTAACATGCAAAGGAGTTCCTGCTACAAAAAAGGCCTGGGTTTTGACAACAAACAAGGTAAACAGAATAAGAAGCAAAAGGTGGGTGTGGCTGGGTGAGCACACTTCTTGTAACATGGAGATGTGGCCTAATATGCCAATGGGTTGCACTGTCAGAGGTGTGGCCTAATATGCTAATGAGTTCCTGTTGTTGGGTGTGGCCTATTATGCTAATGAGTTCCTGCTGGGCTTTTTCTACAAAAAAAGCCCTGGCCAAGGCTGTATGTTTTCACTCAGCTAGGTGGGAGGAAAAATTACCTTCCATTTTGTCGGAAAAAATTATCTTCAAAATCTCTCAGTTTTTTCCGGATCCTTTTTTTCTCTTCCCTGACTTCTTGAAGCTGTTCTACAAGTTCAGGCCTGCATAATTCAACAACAAGCAGCAAAAAGAACAAATAAAGAAAAAGCCAATTAAACACATTAAAACGAAACAAGGAAAACTGGAGAGATTACACCTACAGCTATCATCTGACAGGCAACGGGATATTTATCATCATGGTATCATAACGTATTTTATCTGTGACAAGGAAATGCTCCATTGTTAGATTTGTCTCAAGATATTCCTCTCCCTTAATTATGCTTCCGCATTCACGAAAGCACTCAGAAACAGAAAGATGACTGGTAGAAACCTGACGTACATAGAGGCAGCATGGAGGTTCGAGAGCCCCATATCATGACTGCTCCTTGGAGGAATCCGGTCGTCCACTGGAGAAACAAAGCCATCCGTGTCGTCTTCTAGTTGGTCCAAGAAGCTTCGCACATTAAAGTCTGCTTTTATGGTGACTGTGAAATCTGGTTCCACACTGCTCTCTTCCTCTGGGCCACCCTCTTCCTCCTGTGGAGACATTTGGAGACCCAACGATTAGCTATACGGCCCGGAAAAGCAACACAAAGAGCACGTTTGTCAAAGACACGTTTTGCTTTCCAAACAACTTAGAAGAAGTGGATGATCAAGAGCAGCCCTTCAGTTTCAGCACCGAAAAGGCCAGTCACAGAACAGGACGACCACACGGGGGTGGCTGGTGCAAACAAGAAGGGGACCAAAGAGGCTGCTCCATCTGGCAATGGCCTGGGGAGAATAAACAACCAACTACTGAGTAAACTGGGACACACCCAGTTCACGGTGGGGAGACGCGGGTTCGTGTGGAGAGCCAAAATGGTGCACTGGTAGGTGTCAGACGAAGATCTCAGAGACGTAGGTTTAAAATGGCTGCCACAGGCCTGCAACAATCATAACGCCTTGGGAGCTGACACAAAATGCCGAGAGGCTCCAGCTCGAGCACCCTCCCTAAAACGGCTGGTTGGGCCCTCCCTGCAGACTCAACAGGGAAGCCTGCTGGGCTCTTCTACAGCACCTCCTACCGCGGGAAGGCAGGAGAAAGCAAGGGCTGGCTCTCTGCTTTGGGGAAGAGAGGTTGTTTGGTCTCAGTGTCCAAATGGGAGGGGCTGGCTTCCTATTCGGCCACAGGGACAGGCTGCCAAGCGAAGAGACAGAAGGGGGTCTGTGTCTATGGGCGAGCAAAGGATGCCTGGCTTCGAGCTAATGCAATAAACTGAAAAAGAGGGATGCGTTTAGTGCTTTAAAAGACAGTCAATTGACAGTGAGAGAGCAGATCGTCCCTTTCTCCTCCTGTTCTATTCAATACGCTTTGGATTTTAGTCCCTGGATGCTAGGTTGGAATCATGTGATCTATGTCACCCTGCCACTAAATAGTTTATCTCTAGTGGCAATGTGTGTCGAGAAACCTCCAGGTGGCACCTGAAGAGCTCCCACTATTACAATTGATCTCCGGATGACCAAGATCAGTTCCACTGGAGAAAATGGCTGCTTTGGAGGGTGGACTCTATGGTATTGCACCCTGCTGAGGTCCCTCCATGCCCCAAAACCCACTCTCCTCAGGCTCCACCCTCAAAATAGCCAGGTATTTCCCAACCAGAAGAAGAAGAAGAAGAAGAAGAAGAAGAAGAAGAGGAAGAAGAAGAGGAAGAAGAAGAGGAAGAAGAAGAAGAGGAGATTGGATTTATACCCCGCCCTTCACTCGGAGTCTCAGAGCGGCTTACAAACTCCTTTCCCTTCCCCTCCCCACAACAGACACCCTGTGAGGTGGGTGGGGCTGAGAGAACTCTGACACAAACAAGGACAGCTGTGCCAGAGCTTGTGACTGACCCAAGGTCACATCAGCAGGTGCAAGCGGAGGAGTGGGGAATCAAACCCGGTTCTCCCAGATTAGAGTCCACACACTTAACCACTACACCAAACTGGCAACCGTAGGTGTTGTAGATACATGGCAGGAAACCTGGAACTGACCAGTTGTGTGTCCTTCTAGCATATTTGACAAACTGCTTCCTTCAAGTTCCGACCCGTGTGTGTGTGTGGGGTGCCCCAGAGGCTTCGAGTCCACATAGTCGACAGCAAGGAAAAATGGAGGAGGAGACCTCCGGCAGCCAGTGTGGGAGTCCCATCCGGATGGGAGAGCTGTGCACCACTCAGAATGCCCTTCCGTCCCTGAGCTCGCTTAGAGAAACCTCAAATTCTGCCCCCGAGCCCACAAACACCTTAACCAAGGGGAAAAGGTTGCCGCAGAACTTCACATTAATAACTTCAAACAGCTGATAGCATCATTCAGCATGTCATCTGCAAACTGATGAGGGCTACGCCGGTGAGATTAGCCTGGGTGGGGCAGGGGGTGAGAGCGGCTCTGCCAGGCACCACTCTCAGGCCCTCCAAAAACATGCAAAGGGGCTTTTGCCAAGTGGAATCTAGCGGGGGGGGGGGGGGGGATAGAGAATAATGCAGTATTAAGACAGGATTTAAAAAAGTGTTGTCAACCGGGGCCATGAGAACACATGAAGCTGCCTTGGACTCCATCAGACCAGTGGTCTATCAAGGTCAGGACTCAGACTGGCAGGAGCTCTCCAGGGTCTCGGGCAGAGGTCCTTCACATCACCTGGTCCCTGATCTCCTGCTGGGGATTGAACCTGGGACCTTCTGCATGCCAAGCAGAGGCTCTGCCACTGAGTCACAGCCTCTCCCCGAACCTGGCATTAATGTTCACTGTCACATGTAATCTTCAAAAAATTCGTTTCTGGGAACTGAAAGCAGAGGCACTGATTGGCCCTCTAAGAAACAGAGCAGACAGATGCCTCTAAGTATTCCCCAAACTAAGGGAAAAAGAAGGAGAGGCTTGTAAGTAAGAATTCTGCATTCTGGAATTATAAAAGCACAAGAAACGGGACCTGCGATACTCCGCGGGGGGGGGGGTATTCCCCGCGGCTCCCGGGGGGCTGGCCTGCTGAAGCAGCAGGAGTTCCGCACAGAGGAGCTGGCGGCAGCGGCCACAGGAGAGCCCAGCAGGCGGTCCGCTGGGCTTGCCAGGCTTCCCCCTCCACCCAACAGCCAGTGGCCCTCCAAGGTTTCTCCCCCCCTGCCACCACGGCCGCCAGCAGCAACAGCTGCAAGCCCTGTGTGCTGCTAGCTGCTTGGCCACCAGGCTCCCCCCCACCGCAACAGTAACAAGATCCGTGGTTCCCAGCGCCGGCCCTCCAAGGCTTCTCCCCTCCCCCGCCAGCAGCAACGGTGACAAGCCCTGCGCGGCACCTAGCCACGGGGCCGGCCAGGCTCCCCCCCCAGCAGCAATGGCCGCGGCTCCCCCCTGCGCACTGCCGCCGCCAGCAGCAACAGCGGCAAGCCCTGCACAGCTCTGCCACAGTTCCTAGTGGTGAGTGCGTTCTCTGCACATGCCCAGGAAACACTCTTTTACTTTTGGGGGGATTTAAGTACCCCCTTATAGTTTTTTATAGATTTCGGATTTTTCTGCACATCTGGGGATTGCCCCAAATGTGCAGGAAAATCTCTCTGCCCCCCAGGTGCCCCCTCTGTGCGGATTTAGATATCCACATGTAGGGGGCACCTTGGCTATTAGATATATAGATGCACACAGTAGGAAAAGAGCCAGCAATGTCTTGAGCAGACACAAGCGGAATATCTTGGACACAGGAAGGCCGAACTCAGCAGCTCCTGATTATTTTTCCCCCCTGGAAACATTGCCAAAGGATCAGCAAATGAGGAACACAAAATCAATCACTTTCATTCCGGGCGAAGGGAAGTGATGTGGGCCGAGCAAATAAGTTAGCAGCAGGAGGTTCTTCACCTTGATCTCCTTGAAGAAGGACGCAGTTTCACCCTCGATAATTGGCTGCAGCAAAGGACTTCTCCGCTTGCTGGATGGGGAACCCTGCGACAGGCGTTAATAAGCAGGTTACATGATGGCCCCTTTCTCCTCCATTTTGCTCTCTCTCGTGCCTCTTCAGCACTCACTTCCAAACCAGACACAATTATGCATTTCGAATTTTTAAAAGACTCAGTGACATTTCTTTAAAAAGAAAAGTGTCTATGCAGCATAAACCACGGGTCTGAAATCTGCTTCTCCCATTATGTTTTTTTCAGATGCAAGAAGGTGTCTGTGTTATCACAGCCAAAAAGACCAGCGTAGGAATCCCTCTGCAGAGCCTCCAGGATGCAGACAGGGGTTCTGGCGCACATACGGAGCTTCCTGGTAAGCAGGAGCTTCCTGAGTCAAATAACTCCCTGGGGGATTATGGATAACAAGGAGGTCTAGACAGCTGAAGTTCGGATACCTTTTTTAAAAAATAGAAACAATCCACCAGTGGAGCTTAAACCCCCGCTGAAATGAAGGGGAACGAAGGGGGCATCCATGGCCTTGGGCAGCATCCCTTTGTTCTGATATGTGGCTTCCACAAGAGAACAAGAAACTAAAGAGCCACACCAGTCACAGGAGATGAAAAATAGGGCTAAGGCCGATGGTGCAAAATCAGGTAAAAATATATGCATTTCACCAACAGGCTTTGTCAGGGGGATCTGTAACATATACAACAACGACACTGATGAAGCCTGTTGGAGAAATGTGTAAGGAATGTTTGGAAATTTAACTGAATAATAAAGTATATTTTTACCTGATCTTGCACCATCGGCTTTAGCCCTATTTTTTAATTCCTCAAGAGAAACCCACCCGAGGTATTCTGTCTTAGACTGATAGGAAAGGTGCTTTTCAGAACAAGTGCAATGAGGATGTATGTGACATTCTACCTACTCATCTGAACAGAACCCTTTAAAAAAAATATTAGCTGCCAAGACAGGAGTGTGTGTCCGGCATCTGCAAAGGACGAAGACACTTCCTCACTTGGCAAACAAGCAGCAGGCCAGAAGGGAAGAGGAAAGGCACCTCTGACTGGCCCTGGCGGGGATACAATGTCTAGGAAGCAGCGCTGGAACGAATCCAGCCCAGCCGAGAGCAGCAAAAATCCAGCCTGAAGTTGGGTGCTCTTACAGCTTCTTTTAAAAAAATTAAGCATGCGTTTAGCTCTCATGGTTGTGGAAGAAAACCGGGAATGTGTTTTCTCAGTACCTAGAAACCAGACAGGCCCTGCAGCTCTAATAATTAGTCAAGGGACTGAGGCAGCTTCCGGGACCACAGGTTTCCCCCCCCCCCTTCGATCTACACTTATTCCCTCCTATTCCCCCTGCCCCCATGCTTGGATTTCCTATCCTTCCTTCTCCAGTTCATGACAAAAACAGATGCACTGTTTCCAATTCCGACAGCTCCCCTCTTTTGAAATTGCACCTGTCACACCCCAACCAAAACAAGGCCTCCAAAGATGTCTGGTGGACCAATTTACTCTCCCAGGTCTGTGCTTTTCAGTTAGTAGGTTTGTTTTAAGAAAACACCAGGATCCACACAGAAAGGATCGGGTGGGGTAGCCGTGTTGGTCCGAAGCAGCAGAACAAAGTCTGAGTCCGGTGGCACCATGAAGACCAATCAAGTTTTATTCTAGGTATAAGCTTCCGTCTGCATGTGTGCACACGGAACTTAGAAAATTTCAACTTAGAAAGGAGTCGGTTTTCCATATTACAATTAGTTTAGAGAGCTAAAGTGAACGGGCACGGTGACCATTAAAATATGCCTATGGGGGGGGGGCGGATTCTGCTCAAATGGCAGCTCCATAGCCACTGGCCATATTTTCTTCCTCGCAGATCAGACGCTGGGTGCCCATCTCCCTTCAGCTAGAAGTTGGCTCACAAGTGAAAGGCCTGGCACCGTTCACAGGCTGCTGGTTCCAGCGCTGCCCTCAGAGCAGCCCCAGCCAAGACAGATCTATGTCTCTGGCATGGTCTCCAACTTAAGCAGCCAAAAGTCTTGCACTAGAGCAGGAGCCTGCCCAGGGAGAGAAGTAAATAGACATGGGAAAGCGCCCCATCACACCGTGGACAGACAACAGTCCCCTGAACATTATGGAGGGGGCTGCCTTCCTTCAAGGGTTCAGACTGTAGGCACCCCACAAGCTGCAGGCATCCCAAGAGGAGCTCACGTTCCCACTCGGGCTGCTTCACATTGGCGCTGCAGGGGAAGACCACAGCAGGGTTCAGCAAGGCCTCTGATGGCCCCATGGGACCCAAGGTACGGTGTTAGTGCAAGATCCATGCCCACCACATTGCACCTCGGTATGGAAGGAAATTCTCTCGAGACTGCCACTAAGGCACTACGGACGGAGCAACCAAAAGTACCCAGTGCCCAGTGGGGCCAAACTTTTTACTCTTCCCATGGCTTGGAGATCAACACCTGTGCATCTGTCCAGCTGCTTCTATACAGGGAAGAGTTTCAGAGGGGGTGGCTGTGTTGGTGCAGCAGAACAACTAGATCTGAGTCCAGAAGCACCTTAGAGACTGACAAGGTTTTGGGGGGATGAGCTTTCGGGAGTCAAAGAGCCCTTGGTCAGATATCTGGTATCCGACAAAGGGAGCTTTGACTCCCGGAAGCTCATCCCCTGAAAACTGTGCTGGTCTCTAAGGTGCTGCTGGATTTGAATCCAGTCGATATAAAGGGGACGCTGGTCATAACTGAGCCGATGGGGTAAGCACGGTGCACGAAGGCAGGGTTTCTCCCTCTCACCCTACCCGGTGTGAGAAGCGACCCAAGCTAAAGGCCCAGAAAAGGTCCATACTTACGATGCTAGGGATGGAGTTGGCCCTCGAGAGGATCTGCTTGACCAGGCGGTACCTGTCGTACAGGGGCTTCATCACCTGCCGCTCATGCTTTGTGACCTAAGAACAAAGAATAAGGACACAGAGTTGGCCACATGAGAGTTCAGGGAACAAAAGGCTGTCTCAACTGCTCACTGTCCTCTGCTGAATCTCATGTTTGTCAGAATGAAGGACAAAGCTTCTTGAAGAGGTACCAGAACAAAAAAAGAACACAAAAAACCCAACAACAGTGCAAGCTTTCTCCCTGGCCTAGAAATGGGCATCTTGCCGACACTGGCAAGAAATCACAACATCATCGCTGACAGAGGCGCCCTGAACATCTGATTCTTTGGCAAATGATTCTCTCCTTGATCCCTGCTGCCCAGGTATCTACCTCTTTTATCTCAGTCCTCACAAATCAGCCCTTGCCATCAGAGTAAGAAATTGACTTTGGGGCAGCAATGAAGATCAAGCAAAGATGGGACGGCTGACAATACGCAGCTGCACAATTGCAGAGGAAATTTGTTCCCTGCATCATACAGCTGCACCAAGGTTCTGTAACAGTATCAGCTACTGTTGAGTACACCCTGAAGCACTGGTAGCTCAGACTAGTGCTTGGTTTCATATCTATCACCAAAGAAGACAGCTCAAAAGGGGAAAAGAATGGCTTGCTATCATCTAAAGTCTGATTCAGGCGCCATGTTATCTAAAAAACCTTGCAGTTATTAACTTTTCTGCTTTTGCTTATCAACTTAAAAACAACAAAACTGCATCTATCAAGAGGAAAAGTTAATGTTGCGGAGAGAGGAATGTTGCAAGCTGTGAGAAACTACTGAAATATGACATCCTCTTAGGGAACTGAAAGGAAATTCATTTGCCAGTCCATTCCTGTATTTACTTCTGTATCAATCTATCATGTTCTTTTATTTCTACCCTTACTCCAAGAACCTCGGGGGGGGGGGGGTTACATGGTTCCCCCTCTCCATTTGGCCCTCAGAACAACCCTTTGCGGCAGGTTAGGCAAAGAGCAAGCAACTGGCCCGCTCAGTGAGCTTTATATTTACTGTTCCTAACAACCACTGTGCTAAACAGCCAAATTGAAGGGGTGATTTGCTAATATTCTGTTGTGCCTCTGGCATAGTTTGTGATCAATGGTCCTCATTGCGAGATCTTTGGATTCCCCCCATTATAAGCAAGTACCGACTTGCCATTGAACCTCAGGTAGTTTTCTTTTTGTTGGCTAAGGTCAGTCCTGCAGTTACACAATCTCTGGCCAAACTCTTGTCTATTATACTACCTTTTTGAGACACTCTTGCTACTTAGTATCACATTCTCAAAATGTTGTTTTATTAGTGGCATAGTGTTTCTTTCGTAATTTATTCTGCACTTGTTACTGATACTGATATATGAACCGTGACTTTATTGTGTGGCTCAAGAGCTCCAGTCGAAGGAGCTTATTGTTAATAAAGGAAAGGAATGCAAGAACTTTAGTCTTGCCACTGGGCACTGCTCCCCAATTTATTGGGGGATATCTTTTAACGTGCCTCTTGCAGAGTATTTATCTTGTTTGATCGATCCCCACATTAGAAGGGTGTTCACACTGGCCCGTTTTAATGTGCTCCCCTCAGCTGTGCTATATGGGAGATTAAAAAACAACAACACCGTTCTCGGATAGGTTATGCCCATGTGGGCTAAAGGAGACTGAAGGAACGGACCATGTACTTCTGTCTTGTAGACTTTACCAGGATTTACATGCCTGTCACCTCCAGGGGTCATTTCGTAGAAAAAGAGCTAGGGGAACTCATTAGCATAACTAATTAGCATATGCCACACCCCCTGACATCAGGGGCCCGGCGGTGGACCTGCAAGGCCAGCGGGAGTGCGAGGAAGCCCCGCCAAGGCCCTCCCTGGCCCCAGGCAGGCAGGGGTGGGGAGAGGCGGGGAGGAAGCAACTTACCCTCCCTCTTCTCCTGCCTCCTCCTGGCTGAATGAGGGCTGGAAGCGGGGCGGCCGGAAGCAGGGGGCGGGGCTTCGTCATGTGCCCCGCCCCCTGCACCTCACCCGGGGGAACTGCATTCCCCCGCGTTCCCCCCCCCGAAATGACCTCTGGTCACCTCGATCCTATACTGCGATCTCTGGAGGGCAAAGCTGAGGAAAGTAAGATTATGAACCTTCTAGCCTCAAACAGGGTTGATCTCATTGAAACAGTGGCAAACTTCCTGTATTGTGCATTTAGGAGGAGAAGTCTTTTCTGTCAGAATGAGTAGTTTGGTCCCCCCCCCCCATTTCCTGTATCCCTGAACCAAGGCTGCTGCTGTTATGCCAATAAAGGTCTGTTGTGATAAAGGAAAGAAACAAGGGATTGAACCTGGGCCTATCAGGTTCTAGTCCAGCACTGTACTGGGGTCTAGCCCACCACATTACACGGGCTCCCCACACTGCTGCAGGCAGTAGGACTGCCAGTTCCAGGCTGGGACTTAACTGAAGAATGGGTGGGTGGAGCCTGAGGAGGGCGGGGTTTGGGGAGGGGGGAGGGACTTCAACATATTGCCATAGAGCTGACTTTCCAGAGCAGCCGTTGTCTCCAGGTGAACTAATCTTGGTTGCCTGGAGATCAGCTGTAATCGTGGAATATCGCCAGCCACCACCTGGAGGTAGACAGCCCTAGTATGCAGCCTCCAGGCTTGCCACCTGTGGGTTGGGAAATTCCTGGAGATTTGCAGGGTGGAGACTGGGGGGGGGGCAAAGTCTGTGTGTGTGTGTGGGGGGACCTCATCAGGGTAGAATGCAAAGTCCATGTTCAAACAGCAGCCATTTTCTCTAGGGGAACTTATCTCTGTCGCATGAGGATTAGTGGTAATTCTGGGAGATCTCCAGCTGCCACATGGTTGCCAGGTCTGGGTTGGGAAATACCTGGAGACTTTGGGGGTGGATCCAGGAGAAGATGGGGTTTGGGGAGGGGAGGAGCCTCAGCAGGGTACAGTGCCATAGAGTCCACCCTCCAAAGCAGCCATTTCCCCCAGGGAAACTGATCTCTGTCAGCCGGAGATCAGATGTAGAAGCGGGAGATCTCCAGGCCCCACCTGGAGGCTTGCAACCCTAGGTGACCACCTGGAGGTTGACAACTCTACCAGCATCGTTAGCTGAAGTGCAGATTTGGGTCAGATTGCACCAACAAAGCCAGAGTCTGTCCTCTGAGAAGAAATAGCTACGATAACTACTTATGCGGAACCGTTTTGTTGCGACTGTTAAGGCTCCTTGAAAATCTATTACGGAAGTGTTGACAGTAAGAGGCATGTTATCTTTCAGACAGGGCTGCAAAACATGATTTGGATGGAGGGAGAAAAAAAAAACACCCAGGGTAATTGTGATGCTTAAACAGTGACCTAATAGCATATCCTTCAGGCACAATAGGATTAATACAAAACCGAGAATAAAAGAGGCAAGAACAAAATACCATTGAAAGAGTGAATAAGGGGGGAAAACAACACCTAATGACTGATAATTTTGCTATCTTTTATCGCCTCAGAATGTTTCCCTTACGTTGCAAGTCATTAACGGTGTTCTGAATGCACACAGAAAAGGGCAGGCAGAAGAGGGCCTTGTTGAAGAAGACAAGGTCACGGAGGACACAAACGTGGGTGTGTAACTTACACCCCTTATTAAACACCGACTGCAGAAACCGAACCCTCAGAGATGCCAATTTTCATCAACAGCTTGTCGCAGTGAATGCTAAAACCTGGGTAAATCACCGAGAAGCAAGCCATGTGGAGCCAGGTACATGAGACTGGTATTTGGAGGCCAGGATCTCTGTCCTGAAAGCAGCCCTGGAAGCCTTTCCTGTGGGAAAATTACAGTGATTTCCCAAATGGCTTAAAAGGCCTTTCAAATGCACTGGCGACAAGGCAAGTTCAAGCACGCTGGATAAGAATCTCGCAGTACTTACTGGTCTTCCGTGGATGCTTTCATAATGCAAGAGGGCTTTCTGAAGAGCCACTTTCTCTGCCGCGATCTGATCTCGAGTCATATCCTGGATAAGGTGAGCAAAGAGAAAGAGGGTCACACTGTCATCCTAGGACTGCTGCTGTTTTTGCTCATATATCTCATTTCCCCCCCCTGCTCCATCCACTTTCCATGAAAGGAGCTGGATGATGCAAGACTCCAGTTCGCAACAACGATGATGGCGGTCAAACTTGAATAATCATTTGCCTTTCCACAGTTAAGCAATGTACACTTCTGACCATTTGCCTTTCCACATTTAAGCAATGTACACTTCTTACTCCAGACTTCTAAAATCCCAATGCACTGGTTATTCCCCTTTTTTGGGGGGGGGGTATGTGTGTGAATATTTTGTATGTATGTGGGTATGCCTGGAAGTCATGGATGACTTCTGGCGATCCCTAGTGGGGCTTGGCCATTTCAGAGAGGAGGCTTGCTAATGTGTCTCTGCATCCCAGCCCTGGTATTCCATGGAGGTCTCCCTTCCAAGTATTTGCGAGGGTCAGCCCCCACTTAGCTTCCAGGATCTGACAAGATCGGGCTTCCCTGGGCGATCCAGGTCAGGGCTCAATGCATTGGTTACTGAATGTCCCATTTGGTCGATTATAGTGACTCGCTGTGCGTAATCCACCTTGACTCCCTGTGAGAAAGGTCGACTACAAATAACTTAAATAAAAATAAGAACATAAGAACATAAAAGACACCAATGTTGGATCAGGCCAATGGCCCATCCAGTCCAACACTCCATATCACACAGTGCCCAAAAATACCAGGTGCCATCAGGAGGTCCACCAGTGGGGCCAGGACATTAGAAGCCCTCCCACTGTTGCCCCCCCCCAAGCACCAAGAAGACACCAAGAAGACAGAGCATCACTTGCCCCAGAGTCCCTTATACCTTGTGGCTAATAACCACTGATGGACCTCTGCTCCATATGCTTATCTAATTCCCTTTTGAAGCCGTGATCTTATAACAATAAAAATTTAATTAAAAATTATTAACAAAACCTCAACACGGCAGCCTATGCAAGATACTGAAGGGAAGAGGCTGTGGCTCACTGGTAGATCATCTGCTTGGCATGCAGAAGGTCCCAGGTTCAATTCCCGGCATCTACAGTTAAAAGGATCAGATAGGAGGTGATGCAAAAGACTTCAGCCTGAGACCCTGGAGAGCCGCTGCCGGTCTGAGTAGACAATACTGACTTTGATGGACCAGGGGTCTGAATCGGTATAAGGCAAGTCCATGTGTTCAAGGGTGAGACAACTCCCACGTTGTCCATTCACAAAACTACTCCGTGTTGTTATACCTGTCATTCTCAAACTTTTTTGAAGTAGGAACTGCTTCTAAACTCGGTAGAGTTGCTGCGACCCCCTTCCAAAATAACACCATGCTACTTTCTCCTCCCAGGCATAAAACACAGAGTTGTTGTTGTTGTTCAGTCGCACAGTCGAGTCCGACTCTTCGCGACCCCATTGACCAGATCACGCCAGGCACTTCTGTCTTCCGGCATCCTCTGAAGTTTGCTCAATTTCATGTTCGTTGCATCGATGACACTGTCTGACCATCTTATCCTTTCCCGTCCCCTTCATCTTTGACCTTCAATCTTTCCCAGCATCAGGGTCTTCTCCAGTGAGTGCTCCCTTCTCATTTGGTGGCCAGAGTATTTGAGCTTCATTATCTGGCCTTCCAGGGAACAGTCAGGGCCGATTTATTTTAGGATTGACTGATTTGTTCTTCTTGCAGTCCAAGGGACTCTCAAGAGTCTTCTCCAGCACCATAGTTCAAAAGAATCTATTCTTCTGCGCTCGGCCTTCCTTATGGTCCAACTCTCGCAGCCATTCATGACTACTGGGAATACCATTGTTTTGACCATGCAGACTTTTGTTGACAGGGTGATGTCTCTACTTTTCATCATGTTGTTTATGCTTAGTAAACATAAAAAATACCAGTTTATTCAGAATTAATTAATGTGAGATCTGTGTTTTGCTGAAGTAGTAACAGCAAAACACAGAGATCTCACATTAATTAATTCTGAATAAACTGGTATTTTTTATGTTTACTATTTCTTATGTTTACAGTGTTGCTCAGTTCACCAGCATGGTAGATCGCTGTGCTCGCAACAGTCAACTGTAATCTGAATAATGAATGAGCAGCTCCACCCCCTGCCGAAAGAGTTGCAGCAACACCAGACAGGGCAACAGAGCAAATATTCTTTTTTCTCTTTTTTTGGCTAACTGTAGCCAAAAAGGGGCTCCTTGTCCCCCACTGGACACTCACAACAACTACACTGTTCGGTGTATTAGGCTGGGAGTGTGTGACTGGCCCTGTGGCAGGTTGGGGACTCTAACCTGGGTCTCCTAGATCCTAGTCAGATACTCTAAGAACTGCACCACACAGGTTCTTAGAGAGCCAGTCTGGTACACTGGTTAGGAGCGTGGACTCTAATCTGGGAAAACCGGGTTTGATTCCCCACTCCTCCACATGCAGCTGCTGGTGTGACCTTGGGTCAGTCACAAGTTCTCTCAGAGCTGTTCTCTCTCAGCCCCACCTGCCTCACAGGGTGTCTGTTGTGGGGAGGGGGAGGGAAAGGAGATTGTAAACCGCTCTGAGACTCCTTTGGGATGTGAAGGGCGGGATATAAATCCAATCTCTTCTTCATCTTCAGGTTCTGATAGGTGCGAGAATTTGTTAAACCCTCTTTGTTTCGTAACAGAGGGGATATATTTTTCTGTCTGTACCGTCTGCTCCTTCTGGAGAGCAAACCCCTGCTTCCATTGGAGAGGGATGTTCTGGAGCTAATCTGTGCTAGGATGCCCTTCAGATACCCTTCACTGTTTGCCACTGCAGGTCCCATCGCCACCCTGAAGCTGGTGGGTCAATTCTGAGACTCCTTGCTTCATTCTCTGGGGAGTTCTGCCTGCCGCAAAGAACCTTGGCCACTCAACTCCCTAGTCTCCTCTTCCCCTTCACCCTGTTCCTCCTCCTCCCTTTTGGCCTAGTGGCCCGCCTCAGAGAGAGTCGCAAACCCACTTTTGGGTCCCTACCCACAGTCTGAGATAGGGTTGCCAGTCCCCAGGTGGTGGCTGGAGATCTCCTGGAACTACAACCGGTCTCTAGGCACAAGAGATCAGTTCATCTGGAGAAAATGGCTACTTTGGAGGGTGGACTTTATGGCATTATACCCCACTATCATCTCTCTCCTCCCTCAAACCCTGCCCTCCCCAGGTTCTACCTCCCGAATCTCCAGGAATTCCCCCCCTCCAGAACTGGCAGTCCTAATTTGGGAAACCCAGTGTTAGATCTTTGGTATCTTTGGTGATGGCAATGCACCAGAACAAACTATCTCAAATATAAACAAGTATGCCAAGTGTCCACCCCCACGGATTAAAATGCACCTTCATCTATCACGACTGGCCTATACCAATCCATTTGTTAACATTTTAATCTACCAATTAAGCTAATTGTTACCCTAGTTACCCTCAGTCGAACTGGTGGTTTGAGCCAATGTGCCTCCTCAAGATGACCGCCTGAGGTAAGTTTTTCAAAGCTTGACAGGAAACTTGCAGTGGTAGAAACACCCACTTGTATTATATCACTATTTGCAACAAGAGTGGTTAAGAGTCCTTCCTACAATCCCGGAGAGAAGAGTTAATGGATCTGTAGTCATCTACAGGAGAGTTCTCAATGTTATTAGCTTAGTTCAAAGTACTTTAAAACCATCATCTCAGCAATTCACAAATAAGCCCCACCGGGTGGCTCCGCAGTTCCATTATCCTTGTACCAATAACAACGTGTAGGCTGAGAGTTCACATCACATATCCATCATTCACTTAAACTCAGGATTCAGACATAAAACCACATCATGCAAATTAGTCCTCTCTCTGGTGCCCTTTAACTTCCCAGCTGCAGCAGATGTTTCCAAGGGAAACGCTGCCAAAAGAACACTGTTGTAGTGAGCTTCACTTCTACCTCTGTAACTTCAGGATGAATTTTTAAAAAATGAATGAAAACAAAACCAGATTACTAAATTTTCAATTAGGGTGTTTTTTAAACATATATTGTAAAACTACGCTTGATAGTACAGGTTGTGAAGTGTTCCTGTCTTAAAAATGAAACACACGGTTTGCTTGGTTTGAGCAAAGGCTTATATTGTCCAGTATCCTGTTCCTACTGTAGAAAGCCCAGATACTTCTATAGAGTCCACAAGCAGGGATGGAAGGTAGCTGCCCCTCCTTGTTGGTCCCCCCCCCCATCCCCAGCAGATGGGCACAGTGCCACAGAGCCCAGCAATTCCGTTTAACCGTCACATCTAATAGCCACAGACCCATTTCTGCTCCCTGGATTTATCTCATCTGCTTCTAAAGCTATCTGTAAGAAAATATCACAGAGCCCGGGAATTTACTTTCCATCTCAAGAAATACCATTCTTCCTTCTAAGTACTACTCATAGCTTCTGGAAAGTACTGGTTACTTGGGACCCGATTCCAAGCCACTGTTGACTGTACTGACTCACTCCGCGTAATCTGCCGCAAGCCCCAGTGAGAAAGGCGGACGATAAATAATGTAAATGATAAACAAATGCATTTCCCACTCAGAATTGTGTTCTACTGAGCTCAGTGGAGCTTTGTCAAAAGATGACTTCCACATGTATGTAGGACTGACACCACGTAACAGGTAGGCAATGGCAAACCACCTCTGTTCCCCTCTTGCTTTGAAAACCCAATAAGAAGTCGCCATAAGTCAGCTGTGACTTGCCGGCATTGCAAACACAGGTGCCTGACATTCCCGTTTCTGCATACCTGATGCCCCCAACAGGGCATTGCCAAGTTCCTAACAGGTAACTGTACAGACAGATCCAAACTACAGCTGTCTTTCACAAATGGGGCATTAATGCTAAGTTACTGGCATTGTTTATTTACCAAATGCCTAATACTTGGGAGCAAATTTAACAACTCCCACTTCTCTGAGAAACTGGGAAGACATATGCACAAGTTCTAGGTTTCTGCAGGTAGAAGATCTCATTGGTGCTATACAGGTCAAATTCTGTCACCTGTGCAATGCACACTTGAATCAATTTACTTGGCATAATTTATTCTGAAAATAAAATGTACATACCCACAGGATTATATTTTTTGACTTTTAACATTTTCCCTAGGATTTTGTAATTGCTATTTAAAACTTTAGATGGGGATGAGGAACAAGACTACAGAGAATTTTTGGACAGAGACTAGAACTACAAAAAGAAAGAAACATGTCTAGAGACAGAAGCTACAGAGATCAGGTTACATCCAGACAGATTTTCCCCTTCATCTTGGCCAATTCCACTCATTATTACAGCCCTTTTTCCCATGTGGTTTTTGTCTGTGGATGCCCTATGATCCCCACTGTAGCCTTTCCGGTGGTCAAAGAGGACCCTTTCATCCTCTTTTTCACCAGCGGGCTGGTTGAATCCAACCCATTAACCACAGCAGGAAGGAACTGAGAGTTAGGTGTAGGAAGAAGAAGAGACTGGATTTATATCGTGCTCTTCACTCGGAGTCGCAGAGCGGCTTACAAACGCCTTTCCCTTCCCCTCCCCACAACAGACACCCTGCGAGGCAGGTGGGGCTGAGAGAGCTCTTTCAAGGACAGCTCTGACAGAACTATGGCTTGCCCAAGGTCATCCAGCAGCTGCAAGTGGAGGAGTGGGGAATCAAACCTGGTTCTCCCAGATTAGAGTCTGTGCACTTAACCACTACACCAAACTGGCTCTTGAGCCAGTAGGCAAAGCCACCTAAACTGCCTTCTATGCACTACATCATTCAGTTGTACCTTAATGTCCTCAGGCCGGTTAGCCTCTGTCCTCTTCTCCTGGAGCTTCTTCTGGATGGACTCCAGCGTTGCCTCCACTGCTGGCTTTGTTGATTTATCGGGCATGTCTTGCTTCTTTTCTTCCTCTTTCTCCAGCTGAGACCCGAAGCTCTTGGGAAGTGTGTTGCTCCTTTGGCGCATCACTGGAGCCAGGTCCTCCTCCGACATCTTCAGTCTCGACTCTAGTTTAGGAAAGAAAAGTGAGCGGATTACCGGGGGGGTTCAGTGCCAGGAAGAGACTCCGCAGGACCATGACCTGGATGCAAGCCACAGGTTACCAAACATAATTCCCCTCCCCTTCCCCCGTGCAGGGTCCCTCCACATCTACCAGACTCCATTAACGGTGCAATCCTAAGCAGAGTTGCACCTTTCTAAGATCCATTGAAGTCAATGGGCTTAGAAGGATGTTAACTTTGTCTAGGGCTTCACAGAATCTTGCGTAACTCAAAACTCAGGGTGACAGGAGCAAACAGAAGACGCGGGTACCAAGGCGATGGCGGAACGGAGGGAAGACAAGCTGACAGTCCGCAGGCCGTGTTCAGCCTTCAGAGCAATTTTATGTGACAATCACTGTCCCCCCGTCACCGAGCAAGTCAGCCCTACTAAATTTTAACCACATTGCACTGGCCTGAATTCACTTGCAAGAAAAAGCAGGAAAACAATATTATTAAATGGTGAAAGACAGAAGACCTACTTGTTGGGTACTTAAAACAAGAGCTGCCCTGGCCTGGATGGCCCAGGCTAGCCTGATCTCATCAGATCTTGGAAGCTAAGCAGGGTCAGCCCTGGTTAGGACGTGGATGGGAGACCACCAAGGGAAGTCCAGGGTCGCTATGTGGAGGCAGAGGCCATGGCAGACCATTTCCGTTCATCTCCTGCCTTAAAAACCCCACGAAATTTCCATGAGTTGGCTGTGATTTGTTGACACCTTCCCACCCCCCCAAACCAATAAGGAGAACATAAAATCCTGGAAACTGGAATAAATAAATCATGTCGGTACCTAGTTAAGGAAACAGGACTATTATTGGGTGTGACGTTCAAATTGACAAACTGTAGTTTGCGACTGACAAACCAGAATTCGAAACCACAGGCGAAGTGAGGGTGAAAACCACTGTTTGTACTAACCGCAGTCAGGTGTGAGAGCTGAGGACGCTTCCACATAGCAAGGATTTCCCATTTGGCCTTCGCCTGTGCTTTGAATGCAGAGACATGAACATCAACAACAGAGCTTCCCCACACGAGTTTTATACACAACTTCCTCCCGTGGCCACCATGGTCCCTGCATTCCCCCCCCTGCCATGCCACTAGGAGCTGTTAAAATATTTTAAAATACATTTTTAAAGCCCTCTGGTGGTGGTGTTGGGAAAATGGCGGCCATGGGAGGGGTGATGACAGGAAGATTGAGCTGATGTGGGCGGGACCTAGGCAGGGAAAGAGAGTGTACACCATTCCATCCAGGTGGCGTGATAACCTGACTGGAAGGCACGCTTTTAAAAAAGATCTGAGGAAAGCAGGTTTGGCATGCACGCTCAGAAACAGTCCCAGCAATTTGGAAGCCAAAGTGGAGAAAAAAACTTCCATGTGGAAGCAGCCTGAATTGATCAGCCACAGTTATTACAGCTGCTGCTCGACCTACAGAGGCCAATGATGTGTGCTGCCTGCTGAGCAAGTGGGAAAAGACAGCAGATAAACAGCTCTCCATCATGGCACACCTGCAGGTCTGGAAGCTCTAGGGACTGTCTGCCTTCGAGGTTACCACAAACCATGGTTCATACAATGCTTGCACTGGTCGCCCAGAGATTCTAGACTGTGACCTTACATTTCTCTCTGGGTATGGTATGTCATGCTCCTTGTGAAGACTGCCGTGCGAGAGCAACCAGGCCATTCACAAGGAGGAAGGACACAGGAAGACGCGTTATACTGAAGTAGTGTCTTGGTCCATCAGTGTTCGTATCGTCTACTCAGACTGGCAGGAGCTACCCAAGGTCTTAAGCAGAGGTCTTTCCCATCACCTCCTGCAAGATCCTTTAACTGGAGATGCCAGTGGTCAAAACTTGGGACCCTCTGCTTGCCAAGCAGATGCTCTGCCACTGAGCCATGACCCCTCTGTGGAGGTCGGTGTTATTCAACCCCTGGATGGAGGGCCTCTCCCAAAGGCAGACTTGGCACAATAGGCATCTCCAGATGACTCAAGGGTGTGAACAATTTGTGCTAATAATTTGCGCAAGTCCACAGATATTCCCACGTCAATTGCCGGAATAGCTTCCTACCTTTCAGTTGCTTCCGAAACTTGGCCAGGTCATTTGTCCACTTCAGCACCTCTAGGTTGGCGGCTTTGTCGCTATGTGATGGCTGCAGGATGAAGCGAAAGACCCAGATGTTATAATACAAACACACGAAGGACTCAAAACCAGGGTTCCATTCAAGAAGTTTATGCAATGACTTCTAACGGTCTCTTTGCATTTGATATGAATGCAGGGGTCTGGTGGCCACTCCAAGGGCTCCTTGACGATGATGGTGGAGGTAGACCCGGCTAGCAGCAAGCTAGCAGCAGCTGAGTTACATCTGGGTTAAGCCTGCTCTCCTCTTCCTGCAGGTATTTAAAGCCTTGGTAGTGTCAAGAGGTACGAGACCATGGGGGAGCGAGCGGAAGAGGCAGAGCCAGAGGGATGCTGGCCCTTCGGTCTCAGCTTAGGGCCCACAGCTCAGGGTCTGTATTAGGCAGCCCAGGCCGTGTGCATTTTGCCCATTTTACTGTATTATCTGTTTAAACTGACTGACAGTATTCGTTATTTTTCCCTGTGAGCTGCTTTCGGTCCCCGAAGGGAGAAAAGTGGCATGCAAACGCCACAAGTGAACAGAGAGAGGGTCCCATGACCTCCTCCCACACTTCCGATCTCTCCTGTGTGGGGGGAAGACTTGCTCACCTCCCCCTGGGGGGGAGCAGACACGTGTGCTTCTAATGCTCAGAGGTCACACATCTCCCCTTTGCATATGACAGTGTGAAAAGAGGATTCACCCTTGCATAGCCTGCCTTGTCCTCTCAGCTTCGTTTTAGTACAAAGACTCCCAAACGGAAACCCTTTGTACTCTTGCATCCATTGTGGGGCGTTCTCCTGTAAGATCACCCACCCTAGACGTCTTCTAACTTCTTTCTCCTGTCACTGTTGGGTAACTGTTTAAAGAAAACCCACACCATCATCTCCTAAGACCCAAGCTATTTATTTATTTATTTATTTTGACTGATTTCTAAACCGCCCTCCCCTCCGAAGGGCTCAGGGCGGCGTACATATTTAGAACATACAATTAGAAAACAGACACCGGGGTACAAAAAAACACATGTTCTAAAAAGCTCTTGCAAAAAACATCAAGTCGTAGCATATCTAAAACCCATTAAAAAGGACAAAGAAAGAAAAAGGCAAAAGGATCCCTTCCAAATCAACTAAACTATCGGCTGAGCAAATGGGCTTCTAAAATCTGTAACGGTCAAGGATGTTCAAGCCAGTAAAAATTCACATTTTGGTAACGGGACGGAACTGCAATTTGCACAGTGCAGCCCAACCAATAGACAATAACTTACCCTGTATTTCCTCTCTTCTTCAAATCTGTCTTCAAACCTCCTTATCTTTTTCTTCAGTCCTTGTATCCTGCGCGTCAGCTGTGCCGGAGTCAGATCTTCCCGGTCATCTTCGTAAGAGCCCAAAGAAGAACTTCTTCTTCTGTAATGAACATTAATGACACTGTTGCTGAATCAATTGGTGTCTACAGGATAACAGGAGAAAGGACTCAATCTATCACTTTTTTTTATTATTACACTCGTCCTTTCAAGGAGCTCAGGGCAAATTCTGTAATTTGCACCTCCATCTTATTCTCACAACTCTGCAAGGTGGGTTAGGCTGAGAGTCACCCAGAGAGCTTTACCTGAATGGGAAGCTGAAGGTGGGTCTCTCCAGACCCACTCCAATATGCTAACTACTATTCATAATGGCTCTCTGATGCAGAGAAGACCAAATCCCCATGACATTAGCGTAAGGTCCTAACATGAAGAAGGGGGCATTTAAACAAGCCGCTGCTTGCAATGAGGGGATGAGACAACACGTCTTAGTTTTGTACTTACAAGAAAACAAGGTGAAAGGATGGATACTGAACCACAGCTTATTGGATAGCAAACACGCTGGACTTTTAAATCGGAGGGACTGGAATCAGCTCCCTTCCAAACTTCCATCACTGTCTGGGGTTTTTTTAAATAAGAGTTGGTTTTCACAGCCCACTTTTCTCTGCCCTAAGGAGCCTCAAAGCGGCTTACAATTGTCTTCCCTTCCTCTCCCCAAAACAGGCACCTTGTGAAGCAGGAGGGGCTGAGAGAGTCTGAAGTAGAGATGTAAAATTTCTGAAAATTTTGAAGCTCGGGAAAAAACTCGGGTTTTTTTCGGAAAAAAACGAAAATTTTCGGAAAAATTGAAAAAATGCTACATTAGCATTTCTTTTGTCTTTTCTAGATTGAAAGTCATTCTGTTACTTTAGGAACATAAAATATGACTATGGACATTTTTACTTGGCATGAAATTATCACAACTAGCATATTAAAAATATAGTGTCCAAACAATTATTTCAAACAGAATACCCACCCACATGCAAAAACAAAACTGAAACTTTTTAATTTTCTTCTGACAATCGCACCTCCTAAAGGAAGAAATGCATCTTGTTCTTGCATTGGAGGGTTCAGTTTGTAACCCAGGACTTGCTTGTCCTCAGTGCACAGAAATTAGATCAATCTGATACCATATATATATATATATATATTAGAAATGATTTGGAAAATATTTGAACACCTTGTCTTAAAATATTTTATTCATCATGTTAAAATAAAATGTTCCATAATCAATTTTTTTCTTTTTTCAATTTTTCGGAAAAAAACAAAAAGGCTTCGGGGGAAAAACGGGGGGGAAAAGCCCCCCCCCCGAATTTTTCTGGTTTTTTCCCGGGCCTTCATATCTCTAGTCTGGAGGGAACTGTGACAGGCCTGAGGTCACCCAGCAGGCTTCATGTGGAGGAGGAGTGGGGAATCAAACCCGGTTCTCCAGATTAGAGTCCACCACTCTTAACCATGACACCGTGCTGGCCACATTCTCAGGCTCAATCCTCCTCCTGTAAAATGGAAGCGATTGTGACTAAAGCTTAGAAGACTGAGGGCAAAGTCGAAGTCAAGCTCCTCAAAATTAAAAAGCTATACAAAATAATCAACAGTGTGTGTGTGTGTGGGGGGGGGTACGTGGGGGCAAGAAGTAGAACTGGAAAGAAGCTCAGTAATCTTTGGGGGTGCTTCCAGCCCGGAAATGTTTTGAGATGGTCAGGTGTAGAGAATTAGCACGATCCGCATGGGATTTGTGCTGAGCCCTGGGTAGCCTGTGGCTTGTCTGTGGAACGAGCTCCCGGAAGAGATCAGGGCCCTGCAGGATCTTTTGCAGTTCCGCAGGGCCTGCGAGACGGAGCTCTTCCACCAGGCTTTCAACTAAGGAGCCGCCCTCACTATTACCACCAGCGAGCCCGGCCCTCTGCCTTAACATCTGCCTCATGCCATCGAGTGACTTGGGAAGACCACTGAGCTGGAAACTGTCTGTTTACAAACATTTTTAGAACGTCATCTTCAGTAGCTGAATGAGCACTAGCACCTTATGATTTTATGATGTTATTTGTATTGAATTGTTTTAACTGACCGTATGTGGTTTTATTGGTAATTTTGTACCAACTGTGTAAGCCGCCCTGAGCCTGTTCGCGGGGAGGGCGGGGGTACAAATTGAAGGAATAAATAAATTGTCCCAATGCAAAGCCAGTGACCATTAACACCAACCTCTTGTGCAAGCAAGGACCTCTCCTCTGAAGCTCTTCATGCACTGGCTTTGGGGCTTGCTTAGTTCTTCAAGGCCCTCAACAGATGAACCCATGAAGCTGCCTTATACCAAATCAGACCATCGGTCCATCATGGTCAGTATTGTCTACTCAGACCGGCAGCAGCTCTCCAGAGTCTCAGGCAGAGGTCCTCTTAACGGGAGATGCCAGGGACTGAACCTGGGACTTTCTGCATGCCAAGCAGATGCTCTACCAGTGAGCCATGGCAAACTATCTGGACTTGCCTTGAAAACTCAATGGGGTTACCATAAATCAGTAGTGACTTGTTGGCACTTTACACCCACAAGATGAAAACTAGCACTTAGGGCTGGCAAGTCTCGTTGAATCGCGGCAGGGGATCGTCATTCTTCACAGGAGCTCTGCCATGGGGGACGGCAACAGGCGTTGCACCGCTGTCGCCAGGATGTGACGCTATGCGTCGCTCTGGCAACGGGGCTGTTTGGAGTCCCGTTGCCAGAGCGACGCGTAGCATCACACCCTGGCGACGGCGGTGCAACGCCAGTTGCCGTCCCCCGCGGCAGAGCTCCTGTAAGAATGACGATTCCCCGCCGCGATTCAACGAGACTTGCCAGCCCTACTAGCACTTTAAGGAGAAAGGTTTTAGCCCAGTTTCCTCTCTGCTACTTTTGCACTTGCAGGGAATTTATTCAGCATATCAGGCTGGGCTAGCGCCTCAGGAACTTTTCACCCAAGGAAGTGTTTTTTTTTTTTAAGCATCCACCATCTGTGGTACAATCCAGTCTGCCACCCTGTGAATGAATGACCTCCAAAATGTCCTGTCAGGAACAGCCTCGCTCAGGTCTTGCAAACTGATGGCTGTGGTGTCTTGGTATTCCTTTAACACTAAAGGTCAATATTTAATAAAGGGCTGGCTTTTTTTCCCTTGGCAACTGATATACAGATATTGAAATATAGATAGTATTTTTTTCACCCCCATGTTAATTTCAGTTTCCCCTTCTGGTTAATCTGTGGTTAAAATGACCCCCTCCAATCAGAATATTAACTTCAATTTATAAAACATTACTGGGAGTGGACAGAAGAGAATTTGAAACACCCCATTAAGACCAAAGAAATATACAGAGCATGGAGCTGAAGAAGACAGAAAACAAAGTCTTCACCCATCTCCCCTCCCCACTTCTTTGTGTCAATTTGACACCGATTTTTAGAAAAAAAGATTTTAAATATACTGGTCCCACAGAGCATGAAATATAATAACCAGCAGCTCATATTATGCTCCAAAGCAAATAGGGACCAGATGTACTGCTTTCAGAACTGGAGAGAGATGTTTTCAGTCAATCATACCACCTGGCAGCCTTGTGTTGTGTTTTGTACCGACTGAAACTTCCAAACAGCCTTCAAGGGTAGGCCCCAAATGCAGACAAGCATTGTAACAGTCTCAGCCAGACAGGATCGGAGTGTGCCTACTCCAGGCTACCCACCTCATGAACGAATGCGCGTTGGGTGGGGAAGGAGGCACTTCTGTGTCGTCCAGGTACTGCTGACTTTGACCGTAGGCATAGAACCGAGGGGACAGCATCGGGTCACTGTCTTCATCCAAAAGCTGTCGAATTAGGCGGCCTGCCTGCGGGGAGAGGTGCGCTTCGTCGGAATCTAAGCCATCGCGCTGCCAGGAGGAGAATGCCGGGACGGGCTCTGGGGGAAAAAAATTGGGAGAGAGTGACAAATGTGAATTGTTTGCTTTTTAATATGTCTGAATTGGTTAGTGTCATCGCTTTAGGTTGGATCCAGACTAAATTGGCAATGTCCAATGATTCCCCCCTTCCCCCTGCAGAACGTCCTCCTGGAATTCCTCAGCATTCCCAGTCCCCCAGAAGCAGCATTTTGGGGGGGAGATTTGTTGGGTGCCGGGGGTGGGGGGAGAGATCCACTGCTGGAAAATGTAGACCAGATGCGAGCCACTGGATGGTTCTGCAAAACTACTCTTGCAGCTGCTTGCCCTGGTTGTCTTAGTGGCTTACAGTGGCCTCAGAACTGAGTAAAAGAAGAGAACCAGCGTATACAACGTCATCCCAGGGTAGCTTGTCCCCAGGTAGCTATGTGTCACTAAACAGCCTGAGCAATACATTTGGTAAGCTGCATGCCTGGAAAGCTGACTGACACATCCGCCTGCACTCAGCTTCTTCTGACATCTAATCTGTCAACCCGACATTTGCAACCGCAGAATTTCATTTGTACCAAGATAAAGGAATTGCATTACTCTTTGCAAAGGCATCTGAAACCCTGTCTTCTTTTTTTAATGCTCCAAAACCAAACCTATAAACAATACTCCAGGAGTTGACTCTGGAGCCTTGACCAGATAAGGAACACATCAGTATAGCGAATTAATCAGGACTCAACCCCTGCTTTTTGAGAAGAAAGCAGGAAAAATAGAGCTATTCAGCCTAAGGCATGCAAATTTTGCAGTACAAGGAGCTCAATGGAATTGAACGTACTTTAACTCAGTTGGAGAGTGGCCAGTGACTTTGCAGACTTCGCTTATACTTCTGAGCTTGGGGGTAGCACAAACAATGCAGAGGGAAGAATTTGTCGCACACTGCAGTCTTCCTACTCTATCCGTCTGTCCCTCTATGGCAGTTGTGATTAACCCATGGTCTGGGACCCTCTGGTAGAACACATTGCTCCACCTGCTGGGTTACAAGTTTCTACCGAACTGCCATTTGTTGTTGTTGTTGCATTTTGGGGGGGCTGGCTGTTGGTCCGCAGGTGCAGAGGGCACACCTACTGCCTCATTGTATGTACCAGCCAAGCAGAGCAGCAGGATGCCGAGAATCCCTGCATGACGCTACGCTTTAGCTTCTTTGTTGCATACTTTGCAGAGGAAGAAAGCAACACAGCGCACGAGTGTAATTTAAGAAAAGTTTACTAACATTAGGGAAGGGTTAGGTGGAGTGAAAATAATAACATACGAACTACCTAAGCTCCATCTTGCCTAGTTGTTGGTTCTCTCTCTCTCTCTCTCTCTCTCTCTCTCTCTCTCTCTCTCTCTCGTGTGTGTGTGAAAAGGAGAAAAACGAGAGAGCGAGAGATGAGAAGACAGAAGAGAGAGAGAGAGTTCTCCCCAAAGCCCTCACCTCTTGCGTACGTGACCAACAACATGTGCTCTTATCCAATATATGGATTAGCCAATAGCTGATTTTAGGACCATCTCATTAGGAATAGCCCCTCCCTTTCTCTGGTGGGAAATACGTGCCTGACATCTCATTGGATCTAAGCTAACTAACTAACAGCACACACAAACAAAGAGGTTAACTCTTCCATCACAGAATGGAATGACACTCGCATAATCCCAACATTCTTCCTCCCTATGGCACGTCTCCCAGTGCTTGGCTGGTGTTTTTCTGTCCCCTCTCTCTCTTGGCCTGCTGCCCACTGGCCTGGGACGCCAGTGAGGCCCTGACTCTGACTTCCCCTCTTTCCTGTCACACGACTGAAGCATCAACTTAGTGAGTTCCACGCTGTGAGACTGGAGAGGCTGAAGACCGGTATGACGCAATGAGACGGTTTGCGTGGGATGATGGAGGGGGAGAGAGGAGACGGTTGGCATGTGGATGGATGGCCTCTGTCTTGCCTCTCTAATTCTCCTGGAGGAAGAATCTGGCACCGTGACAAGTAGACAAAGTTATTACTGTGCTCAACTGTGCTAATCAGAGACATGAAATCAGCAGCAGCTCTCTAGGGGATCAGGGGACTTTAAATGGAACCCAGTAAGTCATGTATTTAATTTCTGACTCCCCCCCCCCTCACCCAAACCTCTCCAAATGCCAGAGGCAGCTTGCACTTCGTAGAAAAGCGAGATTCAAGTCCATTTGCACCTTGGAGACCAACAAGATTTTTAGGGTAGGAGCTTCTGAGAGTCAACGCTCTCTTTGTCTGATACTTGGTAGGGAGCTTCAACTCCCGAAACCGTATACCTCAAAAATCTTGTTGGACTCTAAGCTGCCACTGGACTCAGATCTACATGTTCTACTGCAGACAAACACGGCAGCCCTCTGAAACGACATTTCATGGAGATACACTAAAAAAAAGCAGCCAAGAATATCAAAACAAAGTCCCAGTAAAACCAACCCCCGTTACCAGTTTTGAAAAGTTCAGCAGCAACCGATAAAAATGCTCCAGGGGGCCTTAAGTGCCATTCAAATGTTCTTTGAAGCAACGAGATCTTAAGTACAAGCAATAAGTAGCAGATCCCCAAATTCCTTCAGATGAGCTCCAAGGGAAACCTCCTGTTTCCTCAAAAGTGGAGTCCTTCCGCCTGCCCAAGGGCCCGCTCTCACTTACCCAGCATGATCCGCTGGCTTCCCTCTTTTCCTTTGTGACATCATCCAACCCTGTTCTACCCAGGTACCTGAAGCCAGGCTTCTGCTGCTGTGAAATCTCTAGACAGCAGGCATTGGGTCCCCAACATGAGGAACCCCTCAACACGTTCCTCAGGCCCTTCCTTCAGTTCTGAAAATAACAGGTTCTAAATATTCAGATCTACAGAACTTCCACTGGACAGTTGCCAGAAGCTCCAGCCTCAGACAAACACTGAAAAGCACGAGATAGGAATACAAGAATTCACATGAAGCTGGCTTATAATGAATCAAACCATCTGTCCATCACGGTCAGTACTGTCTATGCAGGGTTCTCCAGGGTCTCAGGGAGAGATCTTTCACATCACCTACTACTTGGTCCTTCTAACTGGAAAAGCCAGGGATTGAACCCAGGACCTTCTGCATGCCAAGCAGATGCTGTGCTACTGAAATACAGGCTCTCCCCTGCTTAGAAGAGTGTCCATTAGAGAAAGAGTGCCCATTTCCCTCTCCAGCAAACTGGCTGGTTTAATGGGCCAAGTTTTTAAAAGCCTGGAGTTGAGCGATCGGGAGAAGGAATCAACCAGATGGGAGACGCAATCAGCGTTCCTCAAACCACGTTGCAAAGAATCATCTTGTCTTGTGACCTTTCCTCACCTAATACCACGAGGGTTCTTAAAATTCTATGTTTGGACAGTTTGCTAAGCTGGTTTGCATGCTCCTACTTAGCGCCACAGGATTAGATGGTTTAAGATTTTGCGGCTTGAACTTGTGATTCTAGAAATCTGGAAGCAAGCACAAAGGAAGTGCTCCCCCCCCACACACACTGACTGAATTATACGTAAAAGCAGAATTTCTGCAAAAGTCTTATATGAGCTTTCAAACAATGCTTTCCCGAGGGCTTCGTTTTTTCATTAGTTACTGCCTGTGCCTTTAGATGTCTGAACGCCCTGCCCACCCCATGCACCTTACTTCACTGTAAAATCCCTAGAGTAATTCCTTGTCAGCTTTACCCTGCTACTTCTAACTCTGCCACATTCCTCTGTATAAATTCGGAAGAACAGAGCAGGAAGGGTCTTCCTGAACTACAGAACTTCGGGCTGTGGCAGGTGGGTAAAGCTGCAAGGCCAAAAGACCCTTGAAGACAATATTCCCTGCATGCAGAACGTTCAAAAAAAGAATTTAGCCAAGGCTGGCCTCCGGCATGCCCTTTTCCCCTAGAGGCAAGGAATCCTGGCCCTCCCAGGTCATTCCTGAAGGTGTTATTTCTTCCCGTTTTTGCCACCCTGGAGTGCCCGCGTCCCAAGGAGCAAGTGGGGAAGAAGGAGCGAACTGCCCGCTTGGTGGTTGCAGACTGTTCGGTATGTCAGACAAGCACTCGTCCCGTTTCCCTGCCATCTGCTCTAACTGCTTGCCTGCGACCACGCAGGTGCTTATTAATCTGTGATCTCTCTTCACAAAATACTCCAGAGGTGACAAATGACGGCAGAGGGGAATGCCTTGAAAGCATTTGTGGTCATGCAGCGTGCAGTCCTCTCTCCACTCAAGAGAGTAGTATGGGTCATTTCAGGGCCATCTGCTGCGCTGAGAAATGAAAACATTTCCTTGTTTGCTTTTGTGGCTGCCAAAGGGGGGAAATAAGACAGGGAGCCTATTGCAAGGTAATAGTTCACCTACTGACAACGGTGACTGTGACTTGCAGAAATACTGGGCTGAATCTGGCCAGCTTTTCTCATCAAACTTGGCAAATCTCCCCACCACCACCCCTCATCCCATTTGATTTTGATCACATGATCACCAACACAGCTCTTTTTGTGGACTGAAGGAGACACTTTCCCTCTCTTCTTCACCAGTGAAAAACCTGTCTGGATCCATCTTGCTGGTCTCACGAACAGAACAGGTGGCAAATAGTGGGCGCCAGAGGTCACATCCATGTGTACTGGGAGCTCAGCAACCACAAGTGTCAGGACCGTGTAATACCTGCAGTGCTTCCTGCTATGGAAGGAAAGGGGGAACCGGGGCTTTCCTTGCTGGGAAATTCCCTTAGACCACGAGTTCCTTGGAAAGCATCCTGGGAACCAGCCACCCCCAACTCAAGACACTGTTTCCCACTTCCTTCGATAAGACTCCCAATGTATACAGCTGCCATGTGTGAACAGGGGCAAACACACATTCTGCATGCATGCATAGCTTTGTTATGTGCAAGCCAGAACCTTGAAAAACCCTGTGGTCAGTTGGCAAGCCCCAGATCTGTACACAGATGCAGAATCTGCACATTGCCTCTGTTCGCATGTGTATCAGGAGGATCTATGCATTGCTGGAAGGCTCCCAGTCCATGTGGATCTAACATCTGAAACCAGAATTATGCAAAGATCCCATTTTGGCTGACAATCCTTCTTCCTCTAACCATTCTACGAAGGCAGGAAGCAGGCAGCTAAGAATCTCTTCCCCAAGGAAGAATTTCATTCACTGTAATTGTCATTTTTTAAAATTCCTGTAAGCCGCTTTGTCCAAAACTATAACAAGTAATAAAACACAGAGGACTAAAATTATAAAATGACAAAAGAATTGGCTGGAGTATTAAGCCTAAACTCCTTGCTATTTTTGCAAACTTTTCAACAGTGCTGAAGAAGTTCTCTCTCTCTCTCTCTCTCTCTCTCTCTCTTATGTTTTGGTGCCCCTTCTGAAAATGTTCCTTCCTTTTCTTAAGTTACCCTCACCTGCCTCCTGTGATGGCATCACTCAGACAAGTACTATTCAACTACATTAGGTGCTTGCTTACCTAATATATTCCTCACCTTTTTCTCCAGTGGGGACCCCAAAGTGGCTTGCAATGTTCTCCTCTGCTCGGGGGGTTGCCAGCCCTCTGGTCCGGGCGGGAGTTTCCAAGCTTTTGTGGGCTTCTCCCTGCCACCAGCCAGCTGGCCAGCGGGGGGGAACCCCGTCCACAGATGCCCCCCAACGCAGTGCGATGATGTCACCTGGAAGTGACATCATCACGCTGCCGCTGTTGCGCGGTGACTCTCTAGGTTTTGGGCAAAACTCTATGGTAAATCTGGGCTCAAACCCATAGAGTTTTGCCCCAAACCTAGAGTGTCACCATGTGACATCGGCGGCATGACGGTGTCACTTCCAGGTGACGTCATCGTGCCACGTGCAGCAGAAGCTTCCGGAGAGGAGCAAAGATCCCCCCCGCCAGCAACAAGGTAAGACCTGGCAACCCTATCTCCTCCATCTTAAACACACAACAATCCTTTTAGGTAGGTTAGGCTGAGCGCGTGTGACTGGGCCAAAGTGTTCTCCAATATATGCTTATTTAGTGGGTGAGAACATGTGTGACTGTTCCATGAAGGGGGAAGGAAATCACAATTGGGGGGAAACAAACAATGCCTGTCAGCCACAGCCTGTCAGCCATTAATGGATGGATTACTGAAAACTAATGCACGTTGTCATGTTTACTTGATTTCTGAATCTTGTTTTTTTTTAAAAACACATAATACATTTCTTCAGTAAAATCAGATGCATCTTGGGGAATGAAGCTGTAGCCTGTGAATATTCATGTCTCGGTTGTCTCAAAAAGAAAAGCCAAGAAGACCAACCAGCGGGTTTCAGGGTGAGATGAGGGATCTGGTAAGCAAGTAGTGACAGATGAGGAGTTACACTGTGGGGTCATGAAATGAAGCAGGGACAATGGGCAAAGAACAGCCAAAAAGAGGGAGGGATTCTGGAGCAACGGAGTGGGGAGCCCACAGGCAAGGGGGCAGGGAGAGAAAGGCACCACACGGAAAAGGAGGGAAGAGGAAGTGACAAGGCGAAAGAGTGGATACAGAGGCCCGGCCAGGCATCAGTCTGTGTAGGCAGGACACAAGGAGTCAAACTTCATTGCTGGAGCAGAGGGAAGGGTGCCAGAGAGCAGTTTGTGAGAAGATGCAAAGAGTGCTGAAAGCTGGGCTCAAGACAGGTGATCCGAAGAGCCATATATTATATCCCTGGTGCTGTAAACAGCGGCTGAAAAGCAACCGTTGCTACTGCTCAATAGTGCGAGGAACGTTAATCTCTCTTTCCATGTATCTGTAGATGTCATCCCTTTACTACGACGGTCACTGCCGTCTCTGAATCCGAGGAAAAGTCCAACGAGTGAGCCATCTGCATGGATGTTTCTTAGCCATAATGGACCTGGAGGGAATCGAAGCATAGCCTAGTAGGCTGACCATGCAATCCTAAGCAGAGTCGCACCCTTTGAAGCCCACTGGCTTCAATGGACTTGGGAGGGTGCAACTCTGCTCAAGACCACACTATGAGGTATTGAACACTTGCGGTTCGCATTCCACTCATCACCGTGAGGGCGGCTTCCCATGAATGCACCACGCTTCCTGAGCGCTGAGCTCAGCAGCAACACAGCTCAAGGGAACCAAGTCAGCAGTCCTAAAACATTTCACACTATTTGTACAGGAACAGGTAGCAAAGCATTCCAGAAACAGGCTGACCCAATCGAGTGCATCTGATGAGGCTCCTTGCCTTGCAAAGTTACTGACTCAGCACCTAAACCTGCAAAGCATCCTTTGCTTTTCCAGAGAAACCCCTGGAGTCTTTCACTTAGAATCCTGCTGGGATGCAGGTCACAGCCACAACGCATGAAGCCAACCCTTTGTGAACAGACAGGTGTGAGCGTCACACAGGGGACTTATATAAGCTTGGTCTCTGATCCTACTAATTATGAGGAAGATACTGATGAGAACTACCACTCTGGACGTTGTCTCTTAAGCCTTTTTAATATTTTTCATGTACTCGGTTTGTCTGCCAACATCACAGGCTTTTTCACCGAACAGTGCCTTCCTGAGTAACCCAGGTGGACTTTTTGCAAGTGGGGTGCATGCTGAATGATTTCTGTGAATGCTTCAGCATGTGTACAAATTGGTCGTTCCCCTGATTACAAGATGAAATTTCTGGGTCAGACCTCCCCATGCCATGGGGGGAAAAATCTTCCAAAAGAAATGTGTTAAACTGGGATGCAGTGAGTGGAGTGATACATGTACAACATTCCTATTGTGGGGTTCAGATCGCCATTTCTTCCTGGGAATTGAGAGTCTGTAACAGAATTGGGGGACAAAACAGGAACGCTTCTGTAATGTTTCGATTTACCAAAATGTTGGGGGAGCCGCCGTTTGACAGTCCTTCTTCTGGGGCTACAAAATGGCACCACATGACCCAAACTGAGAGCACCTCTGGATCCCTTACAGAACCACCTTCTTCATTATATCCAGCAAACTTCAAACAAGGAAAGAGAAGGACCAGGCAGAAGCTTTTGGAAATTATGACCCTCAAAGGTTTCATTTGCCATTCTCTTTGCACCAGAGGGGAATTTGTATCACATGATGTGACTTGTCTGCAGGGGGGGAGGAAAGCCTCACCCGCTCTTTAACCTCCCTTATCACTGTTTGTAACCTGTACTTCAAAGGAAGAACGTAATTCTTTCAAATGTTCCAAACACTGACAGCTGCATCCACTGGGGCAGAAGAAATGCACCCGTATCTAAGTCAACTTTGAAACGACAACCCCCCCCACACACACACACACTAATTGACCCTTCTGAGATTATAGCTCATCAGAATATAAAGAAACCTAATGGAACAAAGGCTCTGTGAAGCCCTGCCCTGCAGCGCTCTAATGAGACATGTTTAGACACCAAGTGGACAGCAGTTTTGTGAATTATTGGCTCCTGAAGTAAAATTCTGTCACTTGGTCTCTTCAGTCAAGAATACCCACACCTAAAGGTAAAGGTTCCCGTGTTCGAAAGCCAGTCAAATCCGACTCTAGGGTTGCAGTGCTCATCTCCGTTTCAAAGCCGAAGAGCCAGCGCTGTCTGAAGACGTTTCCGTGGTCATGTGGCCGGCATGACTAAACACCGAGGTGCACGGAACGCTGTTACCTTCCCACCAAAGTGGTACCTATTTATCTACTTGCAATTTCTTGCTTTCGAACTGCTAGGTTGGCAGGAGCTGGAACCTTTACAGCACCCATGAAGAAAGGATATTCAAGAGTCTCTGAAGAAGTTACACTGCAATCCTAGGGAGTGTTGCTCCAGTCTAAGCAGTCGAGGCTTCAACTGGGGCAACTCCGCATAGGTCTTTGCAGATATCAGGTACCTACATCAACAACATTCAACCAGATGGGAGAAAACATCTGTCTTTCAAAATATCATGACTTTTGGCTGGTGTTTGGGAACAAACAAAACCCTGCTGCTATTGCCAAACGGGAAGTGGCACACCAGCTTCCTTTTCCTGCAGAGATAACAACAGCTTTGCTCAATCCTGCAATTTTCATGAATGTAAACAAATGACTGCAAGTGAGTCTCCTCCCTCCCCCTTCACTCACACTCACACACTCTCTCTCTCTCTCTCACACACACACAGTTCCTCCTTTCCCTGCCTGGGTGCTTTCCCAGGATGCGTCCACACTTGCTAAGACAGATCATCAGAATTGCTAACGCAAAGCATCTCTCTGTAGCCACACCAAGAAACAGCATCACAGACTTACGATCTTTACAAAGAGAAACTACGAAGGAACAGAATTTTACATGGGACGAAAAATTCGTTCACATGGGACTACTGAAATAGGAAACCTAACTGCGTTTTCCTCTGATACTGATATTTATGTCTAAGCTTGAAAGACAGGCAAAAACAGAACTTGGCAATTCCGGGCTGCAGAGCTGCTCACCATAGAGGGGGGTGGCCAGGGAGTAACCGTTCAACATCTCAGAGACCAACTAAGCAATTACTACTGCTGAAATACAAACGTTGCCGCCTCATTTTCTCAACCGTCCAAGTCCTAATATACCCTTTCCAGTAAAAGTGCCATTTTCATACTGAAACAGACTTTCCATTGCTGAAGATCACTCGCCAAAAAGCTTAAGGAAAGATGCATCAACATTGCAAGGAGGGTTTTCTCCCTCTCAGGTCAACAAACAGCTGTCTACAGTACCTTCCCAACTGCTTTCACTGCACAAGGCTGTCAGGTCCAGCCGAGGCACTTCGGAGGCGAAGGTCTCTTCCTGGCCGTCAGCGTCTTGGTTCCTCTGCAGTTTGGCTTCGGGGATGCTGGGGTGTTCCTGGATCTTCATGCCTGAATTCTGCAGCAATCCGCCAAAGTGAAAAAAACAGATGCACACACGAATTTGAAATGTCTGAAGTACCAAACCCCACAAAGCACTTGAAAAATACAAATCAAGGTCCTTCTTTTATACAGCAGAGTACAAAACGAAAATTCCTTCCCAAGCCGTTTATTCCATGTGTCCCTTAAACTCTAATCAGGTTACTGGTCAAAATAGCCTTCCTCCAAAACTTTCTCCTTAGGTTAGAATGCCGCGGCCAGTTGTCCTAAGCTGCTTCACTCCAAAACTGCATCAAGATGATAAAAGGTCCCCGGTTATTGAACAGGATGTAAAGGGAGGGATTCGGGTCAGAGGAGGTGCCGTCCCTTAAACCTGTGTGACTTTTGAGGCATCAGCGAAAAAATAACGGTGCCCCCGTTGCTAAGGCTGCTGTAGCAACAGAGTGTCTTTTGAATGCAGACGCTGCTGCCACCGTTGTCCCCTCTCCTGGGAGGACGCAGAATCGGCCGATGAGAACGGATGATACGTGAAACGCTCTTCGAGCAGGCTGTGCTGGCTTAGATCAATTAGTGCCAGCTAAGCTGCCCCGGCAGTGGCACGTCCCCTTGCTTTCCTGTCCGGGTTTGCTAGCTGGGGCGTAGGAAAGGGACTATTTATGGAGGAGCTCTCTGAGTTATTACAAGCCAGTGTTGCGCAAAGCCCCAGATCGGAGCGGGCTTTTGGCATTTGGTAGCTGGAAGCTGTGCAGACCCTGGGAAATTAGCCAGAGCTTGCGAATGCTTCTCGCTCAGGCAAACCTCGCCCCCTCCTGATCCTGCCGGGTAGCTGATCTATAATTTACGCTGGAGAAGAATGTGGTGGCTTTTGCTGCTCTGGACTGCTCACCCCAGGAAATATTTGAGATGTGTTACGCCGCTGTGTACACAGGACTCTCTGCTCTTTGCTCCCTCTGTTATTTGTTTAACCAGCACCTGACTTTGCCGTTTGACTTTTATAACAGCGTGTTCTCTCTTACTGTAGAAGGAACTCGAGGGAGACAGATTTGATCCACAGGGACTCTCAAAATATATACTGTGTGTCAGTCCTATATATGAGGAACGGTCTTCATATCTATTACAGGAAGAAGGTGAAGGGTGTCTGTACTACTAAGAAAGGATGGGAAAGACAGAGAGGAGACAAGTGACAGAACTGAATGACAGCTTAAAATTTATATTCCTCAAAAGTTGAATGGGAGAAAACTTTTAACTGTGGATATCTCTTTAGAACAATGGCATTGCATTTGTAAATACAAGCCTGGGGTGTGTGTGTCTGTGATGACTCGCAGGATGGGGGAAGAGTCATTCTGATACCCCCAACCAGAATGTCCCCTCTCCCATCTTTCTGCAGGACTGTATAAATTCTTAATGGCTTGAGCAGACGTTTCCTTAAAAAACAAAAAGAATTACAAAATCATTTTTTCCTGCATAGCTGGGGAACCCCTGAATTCGTAGGACCCCTAACTTTGTCTGTGGGGAGCATGGTTTTCCTGCTGTTAGTATTGCCATGAAAGTCAACCATTTTTTCCCATTAGGTATATTGATCTACTTCCAAATATCATAAAGAGGCAAGAAAATTTCTGTAAACGTCTCCAGTTTGGGCATCATACCTCTGGTTAGCCTACAGAAGATTTAACCACAATATCCAAATTGTTGCTAGATGTAAGACTAACGGCTAACCCAGTTGGGGATGCTGATACGCCCTGTAGCAGAGCAAGCCTGGTGTGCTGGCTAGAGTGTCGAATTATGATCTGGGAAACATAGGTTCAAATCCCTGCTCTTCCATGGACGTTTGCTGAGTGGCCTTGGGCTAGTCACATATTCTCAGCCAGTTTGGTGTAGTGGTTAAGTGCGCGGACTCTAATCTGGGAGAACCGGGTTTGATTCCCCACTCCTCCACTTGCACCTGGCTGGATGACCTTGGGCAAGCCGTAGTTCTGATAAGAGCTGTTCTTGAAAAAGAGCAGTTTGTGTCAGAGCTCTCTCAGCCCCACCCACCTCACAGGGTGTCTGTTGTGGGGAGGGGAAGGGAAAGGAGTTTGTAAGCCGCTCTGAGACTCCTTTGGGTAGTGAAGGGCGGGGTATAAATCCAATCTCTTCTCTTCTTCTTCTAACCTACCTCACAGGGTTGCTGTGAGGATAAAATGGGGAAGAGCAGAACAAAGTAAGTGACTTTGGTTCCCCATTGCAGATAAAGGCAGGGTAAACCAACAAGGTAAATACCTAAATAAAATTGTCCTTTGATTAATGGTGGTCTAAAGCAGTGCTCACACTTGCAGAGAGGCATAGCAGTGCTCACACTTGCAGACAGGCATAGCAGTACTCACACTTGCAGACAGGCATAGCAGTACTCACACTTGCAGAGAGGCATAGCAGTGCTCACACTTGCAGAGAGGCATAGCAGTGCTCACACTTGCAGACAGGCATAGCAGTGCTCACACTTGCAGACAGGCATAGGGAATGAGGGAGAGAGGTTTTTTTTAGTACGTAATTGTTATGAAAACCTTGGGTCTCGCTTAGGCTACATCTGTACCCTGCTAGCGGCACACCAGTTGAGAACCACTGATCTAAAGGACATTTTATCACTTAGTAATTTGGTGCTAGACATCCAATTCCCTACTGTATACCTATATTTTGCAATTCCCATTTTATTTTAATAAAATGTGAGTGGGAAAATTTATTGTTACAGGACATTAACAAGGATGGAAGGCTGTCAAAGTTTAATTCAGGGCATAAGATTTTTGTGTGCATGCACGTGAAAGTTTATACCCAGAATTAAACTTTGTTTGTCTTAAAGGTGCCGCTGGACTCAAGCTTTGTTCTGTTGCTTCAGACTGACAGGGCTACCCCACCTGAAAGGATGTAAGCCGTTCCATTTGAAACAAGAATAAATACAAATTGACCGAAGATCACAGTCCTGCAGCCCAGCTCTAGGCATTCTCACTGGGAAGAAAGTCCCACCAAGATGCATGGCGTGGACTTCCAAGGAAGTTTGCACAAAGTTGTGGTTTAGGGTACAAGTGCTGCTCCTGCAGATATCAATGGGGGAAACACCGATACGAGCCAGATGGGAGGGAGTGCAGCCCATTCTTTAACAACAAAGTCAGTCCACGTGTCACAGTCACAATGCTCTTCTAGAGTTTGAGCTACACAGATTAGCTTCTGCTTGTGAGAAATAGCCCTGTTTCCAGTTTCCAGTTGTCAGTGTGCCGTGCGAATCCAGATAAAGTCTAAAGTGTGAAATCTGCATTCAGTCGAGTTACTGATGGTGCAATTGAATCCAGCTCTCACTTCAGAACCATAAAGAAATGTATGAGAAAACAACTGTCCAGGGCAATCTCTGCCAGCAGAGAAATGACACACCAATCATACATAAGCAAACCACAGAAACTCCAGCGATCGGGAGTCACAATGTGTTTATACTGCAAAGCTTTCATCTGCCAAATCAGCTCCAAGAAAAGAGGGAACTCTGCGTTCAGAACAGACATGTTTTCTGGATCAAATTAATTCCCAGTTTCAAAAGCTCTACTGCCACAGTCCCAAAATTAACAAGCCACAAGATTGCCTCTTCCACTACAGATTGATCTGCCATTTTAAGACTCCAGTCCTAAGAACACTGTCCTGGGAGTAAGCCCCACTGCCTAAAATGTGGCTTGCTTCTGAGTAGACCTACTTAATATTGCTCCCTAAGCCAGCCAAGCCACACCAGCATCTTTTGGTATCCTTTATTCAAAAGGAAGGTTCAGAATTAAGAACCAGTGTGGCTTAATGGTTAGAGGAGGAGGAGAGTTAGTTTTTACACCCCGCTTTTCTCTACCTTAAGAAGTCTCAAAGCAGCCCACAATCTCCTTCCCTTCCCCTTCCTACTACAGGGACCTTGTAAGGTAGGTGGGGCTGAGAGAGCTCTGAGAGAACTGTGACTGACCCAAGGTCACCCAGCTGGCTTCATGTAAAGTAATGGTTAAGAGTGTCAGACTAGGATCTGGGAGATATGGGTTCAAATCCCCACTCTGCCATAAAGGCTTGCTGGGTGACCTTGGGCCAGTCACACACTCTCAGCCTAACCAACCTCACTCACTGTGAAGATAGAATGGAGAAGAGGGGAATGGTGTAAGCTGCTTAGGGCCCCCACTGGAGAGAAAGGCCAGATGTAAAGATTTTAAATAAATAAATAAAGTAAAACCAGTGATGGTCCACTTGTCAGTGATAACGTATCTGCCCAGAGACTCATCTCCCTTCCAGAAACAAAGGACCAAACTGACTCCCATTTTATAGAAGAGAAGAAGAAGAGATTGGATTTATACCCTGCCCTTCACTACCCAAAGGAGTCTCAGAGCGGCTTACAAACTCCTTTCCCTTCCCCTCCCCACAACAGACACCCTGTGAGGTAGGTGGGGCTGAGAGAGCTCTCGACAGAAACTGCTCTTTCAGGAACAGCTGTGCCTATGTCAGCTAAGCTGCCAAAGTATGTTTCTCTTTACTGTGCAATCCTTCCCTTACGCTTAATTGCCTCTTTGCTGCAATGCATATCTCTCAAGGCCACTGGAGGAGTTGATGTGTCTAGAATTCATGGGAAGCTTGTGTGTGGGGGGTGTATACGAATGCCCTATATCCTAATATGTGCATAGGTAACCCGCCATTCCTAACAGTGTTCTTGTTACTGCATCTATGGCTTTTCAATAAAAGTAAAATCTTTCTAGAAGCGTGTACTTCATTGTCTTGCTGTGGATCCTGACAGCCAGAGCTTGTGACTGACGGGAATCAAACCCGGTTCTCCCAGATTAGAGTCTGCACACTTAACCACTACACCAAACTGGCTCTCTGTTATAGGTGTGCCTAGTTAATGCAGAGACCCACTCAGTGGCTCACAAAACAGCTGACGGGGCTTGCTGGAATCATTAACTCAAGAGGCAGCGCTTTGGGAAGGTTACTGTCAGTACAGTCTTAGGCAGATTTATTTCAGCACTGAATTGGTGGCCACAG